ATTCCCCAGGGATGGTGAGGCCCTCCTTGGGGGGATCTCAAAAGTCTGTCATTTCATCCAGGGCAGGACCTAGGCCCTTCCCTGTGTGTCCAGGATGAGAGAGCATCCCTCTATTTGGAATGGGCTCCCAAAGATCATTCTCACACCATGGTAAACACTGATATACTACACAAGGCTCCAGTGATTTCTGTGGCCTCCTCACTGATACTACATTCATGGAGTCTTAGATCAGTGCCCTGTTGGTCTCTCAGGCATCAGTATGGATTCAAGAGTTCCCCCTTTTCCAGTCAGCTGTCTTTGTAGGTTTCACCACCATGGTCTTGACCTCTTTGCTCATCACTCCTCCATCTCTGTCACTAGGTTCCAGGAGTTCAGTTCAGTGTTTAGCTGTGGGTATCTGTCTCTGCTTCCATCAGTCACTGTATGAAGGTTCTAGGATGGTATATAATTTGTTCTTATTTTTACTCCAAGAAAATATTAAGGCCAAGTGAATTGAAAATAATTCTCAATCCTTCCAGTAGATGGTGCTAACAACACAAACTTGCTATGAAAATAACAATTGATCCATTTAGAAAGAGGCCCAGGCATAATAAATCCATAAACTGGGTGCTCAGAGTCTGATCCCAATCACAAGTTAGACTGAACCATTCAGCAAAGAACACAAATTATGTTCCAGTATAAAACAGTTGAGCATTTTTCCTTTCATATCAAGACACAAGAAACAACAGAGTGAAGACATAGATGTAGTGTGGCACATTGGTTCTCAGTCTAGATTTGGAAGGATGACCCTTAAACGATGTTCATGGGTAATAGGACCCACTTCCCACTATGTGGAGGCTACTTTCTGATAGGCAGAGTGCCCCCATTCTCTATACTCTCTGCAAATATGATCTCATACAAAGCCAAATCTCCCCTTTATTTTACATTTTTAATCTGTAGTATCTTCTTCTCTTTTGTTTTCTCCACCCTTTTGTTCATTAAAAGAATGTATGCTTCAAATCCTAAGTAGAAAACTGGACATTCTGAATTCTTAAAATAATTTAACTAATTAACCATTTTATCTTAAGGAATTTTCTTCTGACTTGTTTTGTTTTAACTTATTCCTTTAATTTAGAAACAATGTTACTTTACATAGCAATCCCAGTTACCTCTCCCTCCTATCCTACCATGCCCCCCATCAAATTCCCCACCCCATTCTCCATCCACTCTCCAGGGATGGTTAGGTCTTCCATGTGGGATCATCAAAGTCTGTCACATCATTTAGGGGAGGGCCTAGGCTCTGGACTGAGAGACCATCTATCCAAGGGGCTCCCAAAGTCCATTTGTGCCCTAGGTATAAATACTGGGAAATAAGAGGACAGATAGGGGTGCAAGAGAAGAAGAGAAGAATTAGAAGAGAGGGCCAAAGGAATGAAGATAAGAATGTAGAAATGGAAGACCCAGAGAAAAACTAAGAGCCCAGGAGCACATGGCCAAAATATCTGGGTTTATAGGAAAGAAAAGCAGGGGAAATTAAAGTGAAACTCAAGAGCTAAAGTGGTTAAGCTTCGGGCTTTGGTGGGGGAGAAGTGCTGAGAGGAGCCAGGATTCTAAGAAGGACTTGCAATGCTTTGAGACTCTGGTAGCCAGCATGTATTTTGGCATGTTAATTTGTCCTGAGTTTCTTTCCAACACAGCAGTATTGAGATGTTAAAATAGTCTAGGACACTTGAAGATAGGGAAATTCTCTCCAGGGGCAAGGGTATGCTACTTGTTTATACTTTAATAGCAATGGAACCCTGTTCCTTCTGCAGGGCTCTGCCATACCCCTTGTGCTCCAACGACTGATTGAAAAGCTTCCACCGGGATTCCAAATTGCTTCCTTGGAGTTGCTCATGCAGTTTGTGCCTCTCTTGTGCTCACTCTTTTTGTTTTGTTTTGTTTTCTGACAGGAACTCAGGACCCAGGTCTTTCAAAGTTACTTCAGACCCTTGTGGAGATGCTGTCATGTGTCTAGAGTTGAACTGAAAATCACCAGTCTACAGCAGGAGATCAGGAATATTTAAGTGAGGGACAGTGTGTCATCACAGTTATGGCAGTCTCCTCTCATGGTGACACACCCCATCACGATGCCATCCAGCCCCGAGGTGAGTGACCAGAACAAGTCATTAGAAAGAAATCCTTGGAGAAGCCATGCTCATGCTCTTGAATGCACCTTACTTTCTTCTCCATTACCCCTCTGGATCTTAGTGGTTCCGAACATCTACATTAAGAAATTCAGCAGCTCTACTAAAATAAAGGAAGTTAGGAGGGGGGAAGGAATCAGGATAGAAACAAGCAGATATGATTCAAAGAACAGACAGGTTAGGGGAAGGGGCTGTGGTATTGGTTATGGAAGTGGGAACATGAATGGGCTTTTGAATGAAATTGGAGCTGTCTCTAACTCAGGGAAAAGTAGACAGTCTCCAATTGTCCCTAAGATGTGTAAACTCCGTTCCTCCCATAGCTACTACCGAGTTTCTCTATCACTAATATTACCTCATTTTCATGCTTCTATCTGAACTTAGTTGACCTCTCTCTCTGCCTCCAACTCAATCTCCATCTCCCTCACCCTTTCTCTACTTCTTTTTGCATGTCTCTTCTTAGTTTTTAGTTTATGATTTGGATAGGTTTTTAGTTTTTCAATGTAGGGTTTCTCTGGCTGTCCTGTAACTCAGTAGACCTCCATTGGCCTTAAACTGTCATTATTAAATAACAAGATTTACTAGGAAAGCATAATCTTTTTTAATTTAGTTTGTGTTTAATTAGCATACATAGTATTAGATTTCATTGTGACATTCCCAAAGAAATATACTTTTGACTCTCCTCTTCTCCATTCCTCTGACACCATCTCACCCCTCTATATATACTTTATAATCCTTTACACTTTAATGACATATTTGTCCTATTACCCTACTCTAGATTCTCTAAAACCTCTTTTTTTCCCTTCATCTTTTGATCTCTTTTCTGGTTTAATAGCCCATAACCACTTTCTTTAGCCATTTAGATATATTTGGACATTATAATCAATATCCCTTTTTAGGAAAGAACATGGGACCCCCAACCCAAATCTGTCATCTTGTTAAATTCTTTGCAAGTCCATGTAGTTCCAGAAATTTTCACTATTTCATTTCCCTTTACAGAGGAACAAAATTCGACTGTGTATCAATACCACAGTTCTATTACCTGCAGATATACATCTAGAATGGACATAATTTCCTTACTATTGTGGCTGCAGCAACTTGCAAGGATGTACAAGCATCTTTGTGGTATGACATAGCATCCTCGGGTGAATGACTAGAAATTACTTAGCTGTGTTATACTGTAGTCCTATTTTTATTTTATTGAGAAATCTTTGTATGCATTTCTTTTTTTCTTTTTCTCTTTTCTTTTCTAATTTCTGTTTTTTTCTTTGGTTTTTTTTTGTTTTTCTAGACAGAGTTTCTCGGCATTGTTTTGGAACCTGTCCTGAAACTTGCTCTGCAGACCGCGCTGGCCTCTGCTTCCTGTCTGCAAGGATTAAAGACGTGCGCCACCAGTATCCAACCCCAGAAAGCTTTTAATTTCCTGTAATCCCATGCATTAGTTTTTGATGCATTTCCCATGGTACTAGTCTTCTTACCCTTACTTACATCCTATGTTTTTCTCTGGGAGTTTCAAAAAATATAGCTTTTTTTCTGCACCCTGCTGAGACTCAGCAGGACAACGGCCAGGAAAGCCAGATCTGTCATTTATCCTTCTTTCTCAACTCTGGTCATTGCCTGTGAACTTTGTATCATTTCATGTTCTCAGTCCTTGTACAGCATTTGCTTGTGAATAACAAGAGTTGATGACACAACACATGGGAGATGCAGTAATTGGAACTTGTTAGTTATTTTTCAATTTTCCTAAATAATAATACTAATTTGAATAGTTTCTACAACATTTTAATTTCCTATATTGTCTGCACTATGATTCTTTTCATCCATATATTCAGCAGCTTTAACTCCTGCCTTCACATACATTAATTTGTTTTATTTATACCTATTAAAACAATACATGATGATCTCTCATTGCGACCTTGTTAGGCATCTCCTTAACTATTGGTTATATTGAGCCTCATTTTGCACACATTTTGAAATTTTTTGAATTGATTTTAAGAATTTTAACAAAGTCTGCAAACCAATCGCTCATTTGTTTTATATTTTAGGTCTTTAAAATTTAGTTTTAAATATTCTTTTTGTGGTAGAGTGAGGAATCATTGGTTAAGACTGCATACTACAGTTACTTTGGGTCTGTGTTCCTTTCATAGCTCCTGCCCTTGGCTCACAACTGTCTACAGATCCAGCTGTAGGAGATCCAAGCCTCTAGCCTCTCCTGACATTCACACTCATATGCAAGATCACAAACACACATATGATAAAAAACAGGGAAGTCTTCAAATAAAATATTCCATAAGTACTATGAATGTTTAATCAATCATTGTAAATATGATTTTCAAATAATTTCTATTGTTTCTTTTGGTGAAATTTGAAATCTATTTCACGAAAAACGTGTATTTTAAAAATTCTTTCTTTAAAAATTGACAAAAAATCAATATTTATAAATACATAAATATTTTTATTTATTTGTTTGTTTATTTATTTAGGTTTTTTCAGATTGGGTTTCTCTGTATATAGGCATCACTGTCTTGGAACAGCCTCTCTAGACCAGATTAGCAACAAATTCATAGGTCTGTCTGCCTCTGTCTCTTCAGTTTTAAAGTTAAAGGTATCTCCCAACACGTCTGTGTAAAACATAAATCTTTACTAAACATATCCAATATTTTCCATTGTAATAATAGAAAATACCTACTTTGTAATAATAGAAAATACCTACTTTCATAAAGTTAATACTTTTAAATATTCTTTTTCAGTAAGAGCTATATAAATGCAATAAAGTGATGTCTTATTTAATCTAACTTCAAGAAAATATGCATACTCATAATGTATTCCCAGGGTATGCTGACTGGAATTAATTTATTTGCCTTTATAAAAGGTATGAAAATGGCTCCTGCAAACTTAGCAATAGGAATTTTTCTCTTCTCCCAGACTACAGTGGGCATGCTTGGCAATTCCTCAATACTATTTTATTATGTCATTTTGATAGTCAATAGGAAACATTTAAAGCCTAAAGACCTGACTATAGAGCATTTGACTTTTGCCAACTGCTTGTCCCTCATCACAAAAGGCATTCCTTGGACGATGGCACATTTTCAGTTTAAGGATTTCCTAGGTAACACTGGATGTAAATTGATAGTGTATATTTACCGAATTGCAAGGGGGGTGTCCCTGTATGCCATGTGCATACTGAGTAGCTTCCAAACTATCACGATAAGCCCTAAAACCTCCAGGTGGATGAAGCATAAACACAGAGTCACCAAGTACATCGGTCCCTCCTGCTCACTCAGCTGGCTTGTGCACCTGCTTCTAAACATCTCCACACCAACAAGTGTATCAGGTCTCAGTTACAAGAAAAATGTGACAAACTGGGTGAGTTATGGGTATTGCTCATGGATTGCTTCCAGCAATGTGACATCCTTAGTATATATGTTCTTTGTGTGCTTCACTGATGGCCTATGTCTTATTCTCATCACCTGCTCAAGTATCTACATGGTAATCATCCTTTACAGACATAAGAGACAAGTCAAGCATGTCCACAGTGCTCAGCACTTTCGGAATGTCTCACCTGAGGACAGAGCCTCCCAAACTATCCTCACCCTGGTGTGCACATTTGTCATCACTTACTCGGTATCTTCCCTTCGGCTCGTTTTTGGGACCTCCTCCAAAGGTCCAATAGTATGGGGAGAAATTATATTTTTGTTTCTAGAAATATGCTTTCCCATAGTTTGTCCATTTGTTCTCCTCACTAATATCAAGCCTATTTCTAGGCCATTTTTAGTTCACTGTGGTAAGCGATAGCTCCTTCCAAGTTTTATATGAGCTCTGTGTGCCTTTCTTTTCTTATATATTGACATTTTAAAATCTGTTTTATAATGCTAAGAATGTATTTTGTAAATATTGAGTGTCCTATAACTGACTCCTATGTCATGTAGTCTGATCACTAGCCATTTTGGTATAGCATTTTCTTACAGAATATTCTATTCAACAAAGGGAATTTTTCATATATGTAGAATCACCACAGTATACAAATTACTGTATGACGATAGGTAAAAATGAGAAAATATGCTTGGGAGTCAGATCTTATTTGAAGAATCAAAAAAAATGGCCAGCTCTAATGGGTGTGTGTGTGAGGTATTTTGTGTGTATTCATATTTTTCCCATATGTATGTCTGCGCAACACATGCATATCTGCACAGGTGACAAGTGAGTTTTCAACCTCTAAGGATTGGAGTTGCAGGTGAATTTGAGCCACAGTGAATGCTGGAGACCAGGTCTAGATTCTCTATAAGAGCAGTCAGTGCTCTTAAGCACCAAGCCATCTCTCCAATCCTGAGAAGCTTGATTAGATTTTACATTTTTTTTATTTTGTGTGGCTGTGTATGCCTCAGAATATGTATCTGTATCATAGGAATCCTGCTGCCCACAGAGTCAAGAACAGCATTCCGGATTAGAGAACTGGAGGTACTGGTGGTTTCAGCCACTGGGTGTGGTTACTGGTAGGTGAACTCATTTCCTCTGGAAGTTCACTGCGTGCTTTAAGCACTGAACCAGCTCTCCAGCTCTATGCTGTTGAATTGCTTCTATATATGGAAACTACAACCCTTCAAGAATAATCATCACTGGTCTGAAAATGTTGTAGGAAAGTTGATAGAACAGAATTCAACTTACAAATTTTAGTTTCCTTTTATATGGAAACAAGAAAGTAAAAAAAAATCAGAATACATTCACTACTGAGAACAAGAAAAGAACTGGTAAACAGGAAAAGGAGACATAGATCAGATGATGCAGGATAATATGTCACAAGTACATAATACACATGTATGACAGAGTCATAATGCAACCCATTACGTATACAATTAATGCTGGGACTAAAGACATGTGCCACCACTGTCATAGCTGTTGTTGAAACAGATCCTTAAGTCATAAGACAGATATGGAACTGCCATAGGTGAATCTTTATCAGGATCCTGAGCAAAATGTCTTCACAGCTCAAAGAAGCTTTCAAGTCAGAGTCACCAACAAATGAATTTGAATTAGACAGTGCAGAGGACATTCCAAGACATCTCTAACTCCTCAGGTACACAGCTCAACTTTCCCCCAAATGACAAAGGCTCCTGTGCAAAGAAGGAGCTGCAAACCCTCTGGGAGATGTTCACCTCCTGGTTGAGCCAGAAAAGCAAAGCAAGGAGCAGAGGAGCTTTCAACTGATCTTGGAACAATTTCTCAAAACTGGGTGCTACAAGGACAATTTGCCATGAAAGAGAAGTGGGAAGAAGTGGAAGAAACATGGGGAGATTCATGGAGGGTCTGACTCATGAGTGCATGAAGCCTCCTGTCATAATGAGTACCTGGGGTGAGAGATGGCTAAGTCAGGAAGACAGTGAATTTCATTTGAAAAGAAGTTCTGAGAAGATGTTGTAGGTTTTATTATTCTTGAGAATGTACTACCCTCAAGAAAATCCTTAGAATGGAGAATATTCAATGCCCTAAATTAGCATGAATAAAGAAAAATAAATGCATTGATGGTTGGATGGATGTATTTAAATTTATATGTATGTTGGCAGAGGCTGGGGAACTGACATTTGGGAAGAACCTTAGGCTGAGTCTTGAAGATGACTCAGTCAGAGAGGCACTTACATTGTAATAATGAGGACTGGGTAGGAACCTCAGCACTCACTTAAAAATATGGCTTGAGATACTAGCATGTGATCCCAATGCATGCAAAGCAGAAAGTGTGTATCAAAGTAGTTACATGTCTTTCACATTGACTTCAACATGTCATTAAAACACTTTGTCTACAAATCTGAGTTGGAAGAATTGTAGAGTAAGGTTTCACAAGTGAATCTGGCTCTTACATGCATACACAACAGAGACACAACCGTAAGACATGCCTTCAATGGGCTGTAGAGATTGTTGAGTGGTTAAGGGAACTGATTGCCCTTCCAGAGTTCTGAGTTCAATTCCCAGCAATCACATGGTAGCTCATAACCACCTGTAAATGAGAGCTGGTGCCATTTTCTGGCCTTCAGGGACCCACACAGGCAGAACTCTGTATACATAATAAATAAGTAAATCTTTTTTAAAAGAAAAATGAAATGTCTTCAAGATTACTGGTGCTTTAGCAAAAATTCTCAAATCTGGAAAGGCTTAATATAGAGGTAATTACATTGGATCCTTTTTTGGGGACTAGATATTCATACTTTTCCAACACTGCAAAACTGTCCTAGGTAGTGAAAATTTTTGAATACCTCACACATATATTCCTATGACACAAACCACCACACACTGCTGTTTGCTTGAGTTTGTTACTCCATAAGCAAGTTCTCATTTCACAATTTTTATTCCACATTTACATTCCTTTGATCTTTGCTTTAAATTAAGAATTACATGACTGAAACCAATTCCATGTAAACTATTACTGTTATGTTCAATAATGTTCTTAACAGCTAAAGCAGTCTGCCTGTGTGGAGACAACGCATGTTAAGGAGGATCAGATGAAGTTAGGCCCCTGTGAAAACAGTGACTGGCCTCTTAAAGAAAGGCCAATCCTCCTTCTATGTCTTGACTAGTTAAAGACAGCATTGTGCTCAGAGCTCACAAGAAACTGTTTTCCCCAGTAACAGTGATTCAGCAATTTCAAACACAGTTTGCTTAGTTACTTTAGGGAACAGAACCTGTGAATGCTGGAATAACATCACTAGAGGTTAAGGACAGACAGATAAACCAACTCATACCCTGAGAATCCTGTGCAAGAAAGTAGAGGGCAGGTTTTCTCTCATCTGCAGATTTATTGACAATTTGGTCATAGTAGCTTTATTCATAATAACCAGAAACTTGAAATGACCTAGATGGTCCCTAACAGAAGTATGGATAAACAACATGAAATGGATTTACATAATGGCATAACATCAGTAGTTTAAAAAATTGCCATCAGGAAATTTTCAGGGAAATGGATAGAACTTAAAAAAAATCATCTTGAGTGAAGTAATCTGATGCAGAATATTTGTTTAACTTTGTAAAGTTGTCTTGCATTTAACTGTTAAAGAGGTGTTGAAAATTTTAACAATGTAAATGTTGTTTCATTTATTTAATTATATAAAGATGTGTTACTATTTTATCTTTCCGACCTAAGGGACCTGATTGATCTATTAACAAGTGGAATGGCCAATAGTGATAGAGGAGGTATAGGCAGGACTTCCAAGCAGAAAGATTTAATTGGAGGAGTCATTTAGTCTTGACAAAGAAACAAAACAGGAGAAAAAAAGAAAAGGAGCCAACCAGAAGACACTAGGGACACGCAGGCCAGACATGGAGGAAACAGGAAAGCAGAACATACATAATGAAAGATAAAATGTCACGAAATAAAATATGAATAGAAACAGGTTAAATCAAGTTAAAAGAATCAGTAGGAAAATCCCAAATTAAGGTCAAGCATTCATAATTAATGATGTCTCTGTTTCTTACTGTGTGAACTAGTTGGTGTCCTAAAGAAAATGTCACCTTCAGTAACCTGTGCCTGTAAAGAAAAATGTGGTATGTGTGCACTTAATATTAGCTGTAAAGTAAAAGATAACCATGGTATAATCCACAGACCCAGAGAGACTAAATTACAAATAGAGTTCAAATGGGAACACATGTATCTCCTTGGGAAGGGAAAATCAAATAGATTTTGCAGGTGGACTGGGGGCAGGTAGGGATGGGACTGACAATATCAGGTATGGGTGAAGGGATGGAGGGAAAGTGTATGGGGAAAAACAACTGAAATTAGATGGCATTTGGGAGGCTATCTGGACAACTGTTGCACTGGAAACTCCCTTGAATATAAATGGTGACCCTGATGAGGACTCCTATTAATGGAGGTAATGAAGCCTGAAGTGTTCATCTTTTGTAACTAGGAAAGTCTTCCAGTCATTAGACTGGGACACCAATACACCCAATCTGTTCTTAAGTCTAGACAGGAAAACATATGCATGCTTGCACTACAATCCACTTACAAATAATTTCAGAGCGGGACCCCATATTAAGTATCCATATAAATTAGTTTATGTGCATGGAGAAGAGTTCATAAAGAATGAGTGATAAGTGTACAGTAAAATAAATCTATCTTTTAAAAATATGGCTTGAAGACAGGGAGACAAAGACTATTCCTTGCATCTCCTTCCTTCATGCCTGACACTTAGGTCATTCTTCAGAGTTTAAATTAACCTCCAAGGATGTCTGAGCATAGGGAAAGACTCGAAGTTTGTGCCTTACCCATCATGGACATATAAACAATTTTATTTTTCTATCATTAGCCCTTTGTGCCTTTTGCAACCCTCCTCGTAGAACTAAGGGTTCATGGAGGTGTTTTCTTCCTAATAACTCCTAATTGCTTTATTATATTTGTTCCTGTGATGTGAGCACATTTGCAGTGACATGTAATTGGTGGAAAGTCATTTGAAAGTTTTCTCGTGCAGTTATGTAGATGGTGTTATGGATCTAGAGTTGAGCTGAAAGTCACTCTGTAGTAGAAAAGGAGACCTGGGAATAATAAACTGCTAAATCTCATCTCAAAATAGAATGACTCACGCTTTCAGCCCAGCACTTGCTGCTATGGTATCACACATCATGCAGATGAGAAAGATCTTCATGTCAAGTCATGGATAATTGTAAATGTCAGGCTCTCGTGGTTGCGGGGACTTGACTGTATTGCTTAAGATCAAGACTTCAATATATTTTAATAGGGATTTCAGGGTATTCTGTTGGTACAAAACAGCCTGTGTCCCTTGCTTCCTTGAAAATTCTTATTACTCCCACAT